GTTTATATAATTACACACATCAGATTAGCACTCTAACCATAATAATAAAGCCCATCAGGTGTAGAACTCAGATACGAACATAAAAAGCTTAATAAACTAACATATTTCCCCCTGTAAAATATATTTTCCACCAAAAAGTAATCATGACCACACAACATATCTCCCCAAAGCTATAAAAGTGTTCCTACAGGTTTCTTCAACTTAAAATTAAGTCTGTTTAAGATCTTTCTAAAGCCATATAGAAAATTAATACCTATTTCACGGCACTATCAGCAAAAAAGTAAATAAATAAAATAAAATTATTGAACTAGTTTTCATTTATTTATCTATACAACTTTACCAATATATTTTGACAAAACACTGGGTGGGCACTTGGTAGAAGATCGGTTATATTTTTAAACAAATGGTTAAAAATATAACCGGATCTCTTGACATTAGAACCTTAACAATAATTTTTGTTGCCTATATTTTAGTTTAATTTTAAGACGTTTTTTTTATTATTGTTAATTTTATTACCCTAATTTCTTGCAGTATTTCTATTGTATAAAAGCAACAGTGCAAACAGTAAAGACACAAAATTGAAATAAATGTCTAAAAATGGCCTTTATTAATACTAGTGCTTCTCTTCATGTCATCACTTGTTTGGAATATTTTGATGAACTTCAGAAGAAAAATGCAGTACAGAAAACTTACATCCAACACAAATTTTGAGACCCAGATGCCAAAATTGAAGGGTTTCTCTAGTCTTTTAAAGGTATTACTTTCAAATTCATAAATTCGATGCTTTTAAGACTCTGCGGGAACCCTGTAAACATTTCTCCTCAAAAGTAAGTCGCCCCGCATGTGTAAAATAGGCTATATGTGTCATCTAAAACTCATAATGGGGAAAAAACCTTTAATTTCCAAGTTTATAAAACGTTCGCCCAACATTGGTCCTCGATATTGTTAAAACAGAGAAAGAAAAATCCTGGCTTACCTTTAATTTGGCAGCTACTTCCCTCTGTCCCGGGCCCGGCTACAGCATTGCACACACACATAGCATAGCGGTTTCCTGGTTCCATTGAGAGAGGGGCAGGACGCAGTTGTCTCCACCCACCTCTAAACGTTTGACCCCGCCCACATTTAGCCCCGCCCCGATCTCCGGGATGCAGTCAGGGGTAGTTGGACTGGTTAGCGCGCGTGACTCTCACCTGGGAGTCTGGGGATCGAATCCCGCCCGGGCCCTCGGTTCTCCACCTTGCCACACTGATGTGTAATAAGTACAAGTAGAGAGGCAGAGTGCGGTGACCCGACCCGCTCTGTTCTAGGACACCAGCTGCTTCCCCTTCTCCACCTGCATCACGATGACGGCGCACCGAGCCGCTAGGAGCCGGCGTCTCCCGGTGCGTGTCAGCAGGACGGTGCTTCAACAGCCTAGAACAGCGGTTCCCAAACTTATTTAGCCGCGCACCCCCTTCTATGTCCCGACCATGTCGACGCACCCCCGCCCCCACATCGGGGCATGGCTATATATATATATATATATATATATATATATATATATATATATATATATATATATATATATATATATATTTCAGATGTCAAGCTAAACAGACAGGGTTAAAAAAATTCCCCATCACTTTCATTTTTTAAATAGTAATTAATAAACATTCGATACATTACAATTTCCTTTGATTTCATTTTAAATAAATATTTAGAGTGCCCAGGTAGCACATAACAATGCAATTTAACGGTTTTCTTAAAGTAGGAATGTTTAACCTGTGCGGCCAGAGCGCTCTCCTTCCTTCTGTTCTGCGTAAACCTGAGCTGATCACCTACTTGTGCGTAATCAAATGTCTACAGGGGACAAGATATAGCCATGAGGTTCACTTTTACCTCAGACCGACTTATTGCTGTTTTATGGTGTGGCTGAATCTGCGATCCGCTGCCACGCGGACTGGAATAACAAATGCTGCAGTAACATGAGTTGTGGTCAGGTTCATGAGGAGTCACTGGCTGGAGCGGACCCGACTCATCCCAGAAGCTAATATCTTAATTTGACCTTGAATGAAAAATAACCTCTTAAAAGTTTTTATCACGGTGGAGGCAGCGTTCATTTCTGCCTTCAGTCTGACGGCGCGCCGGAGTTAAAGCAGCGTGTGCGCTTATTGAATCCGTGTGTGTGTGTGCGCGCACGCGCGCGCGGCACAGCCGCTCAAGTCACCGCGTCTCGTTATCGGCGCTATTTAAACCAACGTTGTAAAAATGACTTCTGCCCAGCCCAGATGTGCTCACTTGTGCACCCGTGAGCCGTGGTTCCGCCGGAACGCGTCTGACCTCTGACAGACGCACTCTGAACTTCAGATCTTCAGCGCGCTGTTAATAGCCTGAATGGGAATCATTTCTTGATTTATTTAGTTGCATCCACAATGTTCTGTGTGTGAGGTTTACAACGTCAGAACACCTGCATGAGACAGGTGTTAATTACAATCTGCCAGAATGACTCGCCACCTTCAGATTCCTCCAACACCGTTAAAAATGATCAAACACGGAACATATCAGCGTGCGCAGGCCAGAGTGCTGAAGCTCGGCGCATTGTTATTATGAAGCTAGAGCACATGTGGAGGACACGCGCGCGCAAAAATATACTTGTTTTCAATTACATTTATTGGGCCCGCTTACTTTTTCTTTGGCCCACCCACACATGAGTTTCTACAATAATGGTGACATGTGACAGACTTCTCTGAGCTCCGCAGCCATTACACTTTTCACCTCGCGCACCCCCTAGCGGCAGCACCCCCGGGGGTGCGCGCACCACACTTTGGGAATCCCTGGTCTAGAATATAAAGGTATTCAGTTAAATATAATATTCCATAAAAATATAGATTATTATTATTATTGAGGCTTTGATATTCAGTTGATGATGAAACCAGGTACTCTGGTTAAACCAGGGAAACAACACTTTATAATTAGACTCCGAGAGAAAAATATAGTTGATAAAAATCTATTTATTAATGATGATGAAAGGCTAATGATTATTAATGGTGACACAGTGATGTTGGATGAGACAATGAATGAAATCTGATGAAACATGACCTGGTGTGTTTGAGAGCTTTCTAAGTGACTCAGAAAGGTGTGATGTCTGGTTTATAGAATACATTTGGATGTAATTTAACAAGTTATCAGATTATTATCAACCACTCTGACGCCATTGTGTAGTCTACACACCCTGGATCACGGAAGCTCCGGAGGTCCGGTCTGCAGGTGAAGCCGTCTCTCGGAGTGAGTGATTGGACAACGTGTGAAGAATCATTAATGAGACTAAATAAGATTAATTTTATTAAAAGGTAAAAGTCTTCTGCGTGAGACCTTGGAGTGAAGAGAAAAGGTTAGAAGCCGTGTGTTTTCTGCTCTGGAGTTGTTTAGGTAGGGAAGAACAGTCCTAGCAGAGGAAGCGGCAGGACACCTCTGACATTGCTGTGGACAAATAACCTCGTTAGCCTTTTCCAGTGCTACTTATACCAATACTGTAAAATTGTATTAGAAAATGAATTTGATTATAAATTTGCTGGGGCCTCTGCTCTTCCTCCTCTTTCTGCTTCCTCTTCAGCACATCCTGAGCTCCTTCAAAGGAATCTCCTACCATCTTTATGCAGATGACATCCAACTGTACATCTCCTTTAAGCCCCATGAGATGTCTAAGCTGCAGCTGTTACACACCTGCTTAGACTCTAGCAAAACCTGGATGGTGGGAGCTTTCTTCAGCTGAATGAAGATAAGACTGAGATCCTCATCTGTGCCCCAGACAAGCTGGTTCCCAAAGTCAGAGACTCTCTTGGTCAGCCTGCTTCCCACACCAAACCTTCCATCAGGAATCTTGGCGTGACCTTTGACCCAGCTCTCACCCTGGATTCTCATGTCAGTTCTCTTGTTGGCTCTTCCTTCTTCCATCTCAGGAACGTTGCTAAGCTGAGTCCCGTTCTGTCCCGCTCTGAACTTGAGACAGTTCTCCACACCTTCATCTCCTCACGCTTAGACTACTGTAACTCTCTTTTCACGTGTCTGAGCAGAACCTCCCTGAACCGTCTACAGGTGGTTCAGAACGCCTGTGCTCGGCTTCTGACCAAGTCCTCCAAACACACCCACATCACCCCGCTTCTCCTCCAGCTTCACTGGCTGCCAGTCAACTTCAGGGTTCATTTCAAATCCTGGTTCTGGTCTATAGGGCCTTACATGGACAAGCACCATCTTACATTGGTGATCTTCTTAGTCCCTACACCCCCAGCAGGTCCCTGAGGTCCAGTGATCAAAGCCTACTGGTTGTGCAGCACCAGGCTAAAGGTCAAAGGTGACAGATCATTTGCTGCTGTGGCCCCCAGACTCTGGACCTCTCTCCCCCTGAGCCTGAGACCAGTGGACTCAGTGGTCTCCTTTAAAAAGCAGCTGAAGACTCACTTGTTCAAGCTGGCTTTTGTATGACCTTCTTCACCTCTCTCTCTTTATTCTGCTCTCCCCACCTATTCCACCTTCCTCAGGATCCACTGGTTTCCCTCTTTCCTGTTCACTCTCTCTCTTTCTTTACATTTTTTCTTTTAAATCCCAATTGCCTATTTTTGCTCATTTCAAATATATTTTTAAACATTTTCTAAATGCTTTTTTTATATATATTTTTTGTTTTTGTTTTTGTGAAGCGCCTCGTGATTTTTACCGTGAGAGGCGCTATAGAAATGATATTTTCTTCTTTTTCTGTTGTTCTTTGTTTGATGACTGCTTTGTTCCTAACCACCTGTACTTATTCATATCTTGATTTGTAAGATATGCGCTGTATTTGTGAGTTTGTACAATAAAAAATTAAATAAAAAAAAAAACTACAGCGAGGGAAAACTGTTTCCTCTTACATGAAATAGCCAATCGTAGGAGAGCTCTTCTAGCCAATCAGAGGTGAGAAAGGCGGGACATTCCTCGGACATCCTAGGCTTGGCTTAAGAGTAATGTGGACCATCGGGCTGCAGGGGGCGCAAGTAGTGTGCTCAGTCCTCACCTGAAGAAGAAAAGGAAGGCGGAAGTGCGCATCAGAAACTATGGGAGAAAGCATTTTGATGTTACTTAGAGAAATATCTGTGCTGAACTGAATCGTTAGAGGTTAACGTTGCTACAGGCGGCTACTGTTGAACGTGACTTTTACTGAGTCCAAGCCAGCGGTCTGCTAGGAGTGCATTCGCTAGCCACGCCGTAATTAGCGCCATCAACACTGACCTTGCTCTTCTCTTGGGAGACATCCACCGGCTAAAAGTGAGGATGTGAACGGATTCAGTGGCGTACCATCACCCTACACACGGTGAGTCCAGCCAGCAGCAGCTGGAGGCTAGCTGCTGCTGGCTCTCGGCCCGGGACTCGGTCCACGGCTGCCTGCAGCTCGGCTTGTTGCCCACAACTACAGTAAGGTGGTAAAATACGTTTTATTAAACTCTTATATGACAATCATGGGTTTATAGTAGGGTAACAGAATTTTCTCCCTATAGTAAATGTGTTATTTGCTATAGGAGGGTTTGAAAAAAAGAGTAAAATGCATCCAGACAATATTTAGGAGGTTGAAGAACCACAGCAGCTTTATAAATCTTATATGGATTTTATGGATTTACAGTAACGTGAAAGAAATCTCTACCTATAATAAATGTACAGTATTTGTTGTTGGAAGGTGTAAACAGAATGAAATTCGTTTAGATTACTTTAAGGGCGTTTAGGTGAGAAAGGGAAAAAACGTTTTGAACGTGCAACAAATCACCCGCGATCTGTTATAAGTTAAGCAGATATAACCATTAATTTTAAGGTGCAAGCAGCGTCGCTTGGCTTGGTCTCCCCTACAAACTCCTTCATAAACTTCATCTGGTCCAGAACTCAGCAGCCCGTATTATCACCAGAACCCCTTCCTTTCACCACATCACCCCGGTTCTCCAGCAGCTTCACTGGCTTCCAGTTAAATTCAGGTCCATCTTCAAGATTCTCCTCCATACCTTCAAAGCCATCCACAACCTCTCTCCTCCATATATTTCAGACCTTATAAGTATTCACACCCCCTCCCGTTCCCTCAGATCATCTTCCTCCCTCCATCTCGCTGTTCCTTCTGCCCGTCTCACTACCATGGGGAGCAGAGCTTTCAGCCACTCTGCTCCCCGTCTCTGGACCTCACTCCCCCAGACATCAGAAATATTGACAGTTTTACCCTCTTCAAATCCAGACTCAAGACACACCTGTTCAAATCTGCCTATGACCTCTGATTTGATTTGTTTTAATTCTTTTTTCTATGTTCTTTTCTTCCTGGTGTTTTATTGTTGTTTGTTTGTAGTTTACTGAATGTACGTTTCCTGTCAAGTGACCTTGGGTGCCCTGAAAGGCGCTTTTAAATAAAACGTATAATTATTATTATGTTACCATATTATTTATAAAATTCAGGCATCCTAACCCAGAAAGAAAAAGTTATGTAGGCATCCTACACAAAGCAAATTCTCAACGCTCTAATCATGTCTCTTACCAATGTGATGTTATCATTTATTCTACTTTCTGAGAAGCCAGGTTGTGCTTGGCTCTTCATCCAGTTTTGGTTAAAAATTAATTATGTCTCCTCTCATTCTAGGAGGAAAACTACATTTTCAGTTATCCTGCATTTGATTGTAGGGATAAAAATGTTCAGAATTTTGAAAAAATGCACATATATGTCTCTTGAGAATATTGAAATATATATGTTGCTATAGAATTTGGAGAAGTCTATCATTGAGTTTCTATTAGTGATTATTGATGACCTGTAAGTGCGAGTTCTGGACCGGGGGGGTGTGTGTGTTCGGGGACCATAGAGAGGGGCCTATTGAGTACCACTGATTTAAATCTTCCCTTTAAGCTGCTAAAGCAGGCAGTTTTTCTTCTCTTTTGCACTTTTTAACAGTTTTGGTGAAGGTGAGTCACTCTCAGACTGTCATTCTTATTTCTGTATAGAGTGTTGTATAAGATGCCATCTACCCCTCTTACCTTGAACAGTAGTGTTTAAGTTAAAATTTAAATGAAAAAGAAAAAAATTACCTATTTTTAAAATAAAAAGTAACATTTTCTGAATTGGGTTTAGTTAGTTAAATTTTCTCTAGAAACTATTGCCTAAATTTCCCTTCAATATTCATTATTTCAAGGGAGACTGGATGACAACTTCATAATACTTAGTATTATGTTCTTTTTTTATTTGAATATTTCAGAGAAGTAGGACGATGCCACCTTGAAGCAGCCTGGCTGTTCTATTGTTGACTTGAGTGACTGTCTCTTGTCTGTCCTCTGTCCAGTGCCATGTCTCAGTGCTGGGTTGTGAAAAACCATATCTGCAAGAAGGAAAAGAGAATGATGGCAGAAGTCCAGGCTTCCCCACTAAAGCACTTCGTCACAGCAAAGAAGAAGATCAATGGGATCTTTGAACAGCTGGGTGCCTACATCAAAGAGAGCGTGGCTTTCCTGGAAGGTGTGGCTTCACTCTCCCCATCAGCAGCACACAGCAGACCCTTTTCTCTTGTTGTTATGGTTACTGAAGTACAGGGTGGGCCCACCTACCCTGTAGTACCACAACATTTTACCTGATGCAAAGAGGTTAGAACCAGTGCAGCTCAGATCCAGGCAGGGTGTGTGTGGGTATTTGTTAGGGGTGCACATACGACATTTTTGAGCTCAAGTATGATATTAATAACGCTGAAATGGCCGATTACACACACACACACACACACACATATATACATATATATGTGTGAGTATAATATATATGTGTATATATATATATATATATATATATACATATATATATATATATATATATATATATATATATATATATATATATATATATATATACATACATATATATACATACATATATGTATATATACAGTGGGGCAAAAAAGTATTTAGTCAGCCACCGATTGTGCAAGTTCTCCCACTTAAAATGATGACAGAGGTCAGTAATTTACATCATAGGTACACTTCAACTGTGAGAGACAGAATGTAGAAAAAAATCCATGAATTCACATGGCAGGATTTTTAAAGAATTTATTTGTAAATCAGTATATAATATATATATATATATATTATTATATATCATATATAATATGTATATATATATATATGTATGTATATTCATGTATGTATATATGTGTATACATGTGTGTATACATATATATATATATATATATATATATATATATATATATATATATATATATATATATGTATGTATATATATATAAACACATATATACATATATATTCATGTATTTATATATACATATATATGTGTGTGTGTATATATATATATATGTATATATATACATATATATATATATATATATATATATATATGTATGTATACATATATGTATGTATGTATGTATATATGTGTGTATATGTGTGTATATATGTATGTATATATATATAGTACAACTCTCAAGAACTCATAAATAAAAATAAGATAAAACATATAATGCCATTATTACCAATACCAAGTTAAATAAAGTGACTTGTTGTGTGTCACGTAGAAGTTCTTGTTTCTCTTGGAGAACCACCTTTGCCATCAAGCACCTCTCTTCTTCCACACAACAATGGTTCTAACTTTGGACACCTACTGAGTCACTGAATTTAGGGAGTACAGACTTTGTTCTGCTAGATTGTGTGTGTGGGCGAAACAGCACAGTTTCACAAATTGCAAGTGCTTAATAGCCACATCCATATTGATAGTGTTGTCAACGGTGACTGCTGCAATTTAGTCAGAAATGCAAAAATCTTACAGAACATTACTGGTTTCTTCTGCCACCACACAACCAGTCTGTGCTTTGTACACAGCTTTAGTTTTTAGCATCTTTGCTGCATTTTCCTTCCACTATATAGTGTGCTGTGATGGTGGGATGATGGTCCTGTGTGGTGCTAGTCCAGCCATCACACGAGTTCAACAGATGATGCCAGACTGAGCTCTGAAATCACATTAGATTTCTCAACCTTGTACCAAGATGAGATTAATCTATTTACCAAGTATTCCCTGGAAGGTGGTGCGTACTTTGTGTTTAGGGTTTTCACCATGTCCCTGCAAACATAAACAATTATTATTACAATTATTGTAACATTAGCTCAGTTACATTTAGCTTACTGCTATTGTTTTTGCTTAACTAACTTTAATGTTGGTAATTCCACATCTGGAATGGGGTGCAGTTGTTTCACAATATATGCGGTAACCTTTTGGTTGCACTACTTGTTGCACGGACATCTTTCCCTTATCACTCTAAAAAAATTGAACAAATGTAAAAAGTAAGGCAACCAGCTGCACAGCTTTTTTGAGTAAACTCAACAAAGACATTTTTGTTGTGTGAACAAGAACTTAGACATTAACTGAAATATCAATCTTAAGTTGAACAAATTTAAAATCGCTCTTCAGCTTTACTCGTGTTTTTCAGGTGAAGCAACCCATGTATTTCAGTTAAAAATACCGGAAAAAAAAGTTGAGACAACATGTTTACATTTGTTGCCTCAACTTGTGTGAGTACATTAAACATAAAGTTTTAAGTAGGTCAAACTTAAGACTTCATCTCAGATATACTCATACAAGTAAGTTGAGACAACAAGTGTAAATAAGTTGTTTCAAATTAGTGTTTTGAATAAATCTGACCTTGATTCTTTAGTTAGTCCAACATAGTTCAGTCTCATACACATTCTTAATGTAGGTTCACACAACACAACTTCTTTTGTTGAGATAACTCAAAAATGCTGGGCAGCGGGTTAGGGTTACTTTTCTAAGTTTACTCAACTGCTCATTTAAATAGAAAGTTTGAAGTCAGGGATAAACATACCACATCAAAAGCATATTGTGTATTTAGGGAAACATTTATTTGCAACATTGCAACATCAAAATAAGTTTTATTTAGTCAATATTCCAATAGCTGTTTGAGGTAAATTTCCTCAATGAACAATGCAATAAAAATAATGAAATGGAAAAATCAAATTTCATAAGAAACTACAGCAAAAATTAACTAATGCACCTGAAAGGCACTTAATGGAAGATGTATATATCCTTACCATAAAACAACAATTTGCCACATCAATGACACTGAAAATATCTTTCAGCTCATCCTGGATATTCAGCTCTAAAGTACAAAGGAAAATTATGGATAAGTGTTACAAACTGCTGTGGCTACCTTGTAATCTTATTTTGGTAACTTTGAAATGTAAAAATGAAGTAGTAGAAAAAGCTGCACACTTCTGTACAACAATAACCCCTGAAGAAGGCATTTTAACCTTCAGAAAATATTCATTCAAAATATTGCTTTTGAAACATTAAACATTTGTTAAACATTAAAACAACGTGCATTCACATTTTCACTAAAAATTTAAAAAGACTGCTTGGCACCTGCCAGTCTTTAGATCTGTGTGGCTGCAGCTTTCTATAGCGAACGGAGACGGTGTAGCTAACTGCCTGGCTAACGTTAGCAATCCCAGGAGGCTTGTCTGAAAAAATGTGTGTACTAATGTTAGCCGAGCACTTGCTTTTATTTGAAAGATGATTTGAGTCTAACTTGTTAGCTGTCTCAATCAGATCATTCTCTTTCCTTGCTCCCAGAAGAAAGGTTCGGAGCACAAAGGCATTTTTGTTGCTAATCTGCAGGGAATAACTCAACAGGAAGTAGCAAACGGTCCTCAGAAATGTCGCTAGGTTTGTCACTAGGTGCTTCTTAAAAAAATTGTTCAGGGGGTCGAAAAGCCGACACAGTCCCTGAGTGGCAACACTGCCCCTCACCCCCCCAACAGAAGCAAGGTGGAAAACATATCGGTGGCAATTTTTGCCCAATTTCACTGATGTGACCGATAGAGATACGTCATATAATGGCATCGTTAGTATCTGTCTCTCTCTCTGTGTGTGTGTGTGTGTGTGTGTGTGTGTGTGTGTGTGTGTGTGTGTGTGTGTGTGTGTGTGTGTGTGTGAGAGAACTTTATATATGAAACATTTACCTTTTGGACCCCCCCCTCCAGAAACCTACCAGAATGAGGAGCTGAATCCGGTCATCACAGAGGAGCAGGTCCAGGAGGTCCACAGTTGTCTGACCAAGGTCTTGGGTATTGGAGAAGTTCTGGCCCGCCGCCACATGAAGGTGGTCTTCTTTGGAAGGTAGTTGTCAAGTAGACCTAGACCAGGGCTATTCACTTCTGGACCTCAAGGGCCAGTATCCAGCACAGTTTAGTGGTTTCTCTGGTCCAGTGGTTGGACCTGCAGAAGCCCGTTTGTCACCTACTAATTGAAATCAGGTGTGTTGAAGCAGGGCTAAAACAAAAACGTGCCCTCTAGGCCTGGATTTGATCAGCCCTGGCCTAGACCTTCCTGGTTATGGGTCAGATGAACCAGGTTGTAACTTTGAGTTCAGCTCATCCATCATATGTTTCAGGACTTTAGGTTCTTCACTAGGGATGCACCAAAATGTTTGTGTATGGCAGAATGTGAAAGCAAGGAAGCCCAGGCAGGAAAACCATAGTGACAGGAGGACTGTATCATCAGCGTATTTCACCAGGTGACAGTTGGGATGTGTGGATCTGCAGTCGTCGGTGTAGAGGATGTAGAGCGGGGGGGGGCACACAGCCCTGGGGGGATTCGGTGGAGGTGGAACGGAGACCGGAGAGACAGTTCTGAGTCCTGTTGGTTAAAAAGTCCAGTATCCACAGGGTTAACTGGTCATCCAAATGAAATTGGGAGGTAAGTTTAGTAGCCAGGATGGGAGGCTGCAGAGTGTTGAATGCTGATGAAAAGTCAACAAACAGAAGTCTGGCGGAGGAGTCGGGGAGCTCCAGATGGTTGTGGATGGAGTCCAGGATGAAGATTGTTGCATCATCGACGCCTCTGCGTGCACGATAAGCAAACTGGAGTGGATCCATCAGGAGCTCAGTTGCTCTCACAATGTGCTCTTTTATGATCTTCTCCATGGCCTTCATCACCAAGGAGGTGAGCGCCACAGGACGAAGATCGTTAGGAGACTTTGGGTTGCTTCTTTTCGGGACAGGATAACTGTGGAGTGTTTCCACAGCGGGGGGACGGTGTGACTGTTGTAATAGAGTCTGGAGCACACTTCCTAGCTGCTCTGCACAGTGCCTCAGAACTCTGCTACTGGTGTCAGGGCCGGGTGAGCTCCTCTCCCTGGTCCTCCTGAGGGCTCTCACCACGTCCTCGGTCTGGAAGGCGAGTGCAGAGCTGCCAGGGTTGAGTGAGGATCTGGACTCCTCAAGCTGGGAGATACTGTCCGTCTCAGACCTGGTGTAGAAAGCGTTGAGGTCGTCAGGGAGGGAGGTGGGGTTGCTGCCCTCCACCTGGATGGTTCTGGAGGCGGTGACCACAGTATTCACAGCAGCCATGGTTTTGAGCCGCTGCCAGGCTGAGCGAAGGTCCCCTGTGGTAATTTTTTTCTCCACATAGTTTTTATACTTCAGTTCAGCAGCTTTAATGGCCCTCTTGACTTCTTTCTTGTCCTGTGCAGAACCGGTGAAGGATTTCCTTTAGCTCCGTGGTGGTCCAAGGTTTGTTGTTGGGGTAGAAGGTGACTTGTTTTGAGGGGATGATGCTGTCTACACAGAAGGAGATGTATGATGATACGGTGTCGACTTGATTGTTGATGTCATCAGAGGAAGAAAGAAGGCTGACCCAGTCATTGGCCTCAAAACATCCTTGTAGGGTGGAATACTTCCCGCTGTCCACTGCTGGATGCTTCTGGTCACCTTTTTAATCCTCTTGATGACTGGGGTGTAAGCAGCGGGCAGCAGGATGGTGTGGTGGTCTGCTGAGCCAAGAGGGGGGAGGGAGAGGGCTTTAAATGCATCTGGTACCGAGCCAAAGCATTTGTCCAGAGTCTCCCCCTGACGTGTGCTGCATGTAACATACTGATGGAAACCTTTAAGCAACTTGTCAGGGGAGCAGTGGTTGAAATCACCCAGGATGAACTTGGGAGAGTCTGGTGATAATTGTTCCAGTTTGTCTAGACGGCTAATGAGGTTCTCTGTGGCTCTGGCAGCATCAGCTCTGGGGTGAATGTAGACCAAGATGATAATGGGTAAAACTTGTCACCATCCATCACCAACATTATCATCACTTGTCAACTGATAGCAAGCTAGGTGGCCAATGGAGAAGATTTGGCCTCGAGGTTTATTTCAGTTCCATATTCAAGACGGACTTTGCCAGAGAAGCTGATCGTCATTACGAGAGGCCGTCCAACCCTGTCGCTAGCTTGTCTCAGCCAGAGGCGACTCTCAGCTTTGGCCTCCATGGCAATTAAAAAGGACTTACTGGTGAACCATCGACATATAAAAATATGTGCGTAGTCTGCTGGGGGCAGGTTGGAGCCAAAATGGGAGGTTCCCACCACTGATATTTTTAACGACGCCCAGACAATTCAAAAATGGGAAAAGAGATGGAGCTGAAGATGGGCTGTCACATTTGGAACAGAGTTGGAACATATGAAACCAATGTAGCTATTAACTAATGTAGCTAACCCAGAAGTTAAGAAGGGCTCCAGGGACCATGGGGTAGCCCACTTGCATGGCTGACCAGCTACTGTGCGCGGCTGTAGTCATGCTGGTTCCCTGTGGAGCTCTAAGGTGGAGTGGGATTGTTAAATGAGAAGCAGAGCCAGATCACTGCCACCGGGAGCACTGGCCTTTCAGATCAGCTCATTCTCCATAGTCAGAGATCAGCGGAACATTAGCTACATGCTAACCAAAAGCTAATGGAGTTTTTCCGGCCTTTGTTTAGCCAGAAATACGAGGTAGAGCGACGCCAATGTGAGGGCATCTCCGGCCTGCCTAGTAACAATTATACCTAGGTAAGCTAACCGGGGCAACTTATGCAGTTCTGGGATTCTCCAGCTGGCCAGTCCGCCGCCGTTGTAACATCAGATTGGGTCAGTAAACTGGCAATGAAGGCCCAGTTCCAAAAACAAGGCGCCACAGCTAAAATCATATTATCATGACCCATATGGGTTTAAAGGGCCCGGTGATTAGCTCCGCCCCCGGCGCTAGTGGTGCCATCAGTAATGTTCTAATCATATATCGGCTTATCCTTGCTCTAAAAGGTTTAAAATAGAATGATACAGATTTTTAAAAGTATTTTTATGATTCCAATTAAATCCTTAGAAGATAAAAATGTGGTGCATGTTGCCTCCTGTACCCCACAGAAGCTTGTTTTAGGTCCACCACTGCTGTAGCCCCCCGTTAGCTCATCTGATTGATTAGTTTCATTGTTTCCATGGAAACCTACCATAACAGATCTGAACTGTCCCTGTAAACTTGGTGTGTGTTTCTTTGCAGAACCAGCAATGGGAAGAGCTCCGTGATTAATGCCATGTTATGTGACAAAGTGTTGCCGTCTGGAATCGGACACACAACAAACTGCTTCCTGAGGGTGGAGGGCACGGATGGCGGCGATGCCTTCCTCCTCACCGAAGGCTCTGATGAGAAGAAAAGCATACAGGTGAGTAGAGCATGGCGACTGTTCCATACTGGATCTGGTTTAGCGTGTGTGCTAACCCATCTGATGCTGCTTGTCCTTGGTTAGACAGTGAACCAGCTGGCCCATGCTCTCCACCAGGACGAGGACCTGGATGCTGGCAGCATGGTCTGTGTCATGTGGCCTAAAGCCAAATGTGCTCTGCTCAGAGATGATTTGGTTCTGGTGGACAGGTCAGATTCAACTTCACTATTGTTTCATTTAATTGTGAGATTGAAGCTACTGGCCAGAAGCAGATTTTCTGAACTAGTCACTCAAAATGTCCTCCCTGGAAAACAATTGGTAAGAGGACAGACTATGTCAGGTAGACTGAGAGCACCAGTAGAGATGAGAAGCAACTCATTGTTGGGGTTGAGTAACTTGTAACTGATCACTCATGTAGTAACTATCCAAAAGGAGGCTCCGGACTATTTGCTTAGTTAAATCCAGGTGGTGCCTAGAAATGTATATGTATATATCTGATATATCTGATGTAGTTTTCCTGAGACCTGAGATGTCCTTACATGTACCCTTGACTAACTTGTACACCCTGAAACAAGCACCAGGGCTTTTTCAATACAGAAAACAACTACATGATATTACAGCAGATGTATTTATAAATAATGAGTCTGGCCAGTAGCTGTAAGTATACAAACTATTACCTACTCCAAATTTGTTTTCCTTCCAGCCCGGGTATTGATGTCACCACTGAACTGGACAGCTGGATTGACAAGTTTTGTCTTGATGCTGACGTGTTTGTTCTGGTAGCAAACTCCGAGTCCACCCTCATGCAAACGGTGAGACCAAATTAGAGCATAGTTAGCTGCTGCGCAGGAGAGAAAACTGGATGTCTAGGTTTTCTATCATACTTCATACGTTCATACTGTGTTTGTTTCCTAGTTTCATTCTCTTTAGTTCATTATACACTGAGCGATAAGGGCTTGTTGCTACCTTTGCTGACATGTTTCAACGTTTCACCACCACCTTCCTCAAAGCAGCCGCCGGATATTCATGGCGTCACTTTGTTTTATCCGCGGGCAGCAGAGGACGATATCGCCCTCTGCTGTCCGCGCCTTCTCCGCTGACAACCGTGTGCCATGAGTGGTCCAGGATGCAAACGTCGTCCCTGTTCATGGTCCTGCTGGTCCACGTCTCCTTACAGTGTTTCCCCTAGGAATTTTTCCGGGGTGGGGGGGGGGGGGTGGGGGGGGTGGGGGGGGGGGTTATGATACGTCTCACCTTCATGTTAATATTGTTTTATGTGATGCACTCCGCTTTGAACTGCACCAATACACCAACTGCTGCATTTTAATAACTATTATTAAAAGTGAATACATCAATATTTGAACAAGAATAATTTTTGTTTTAAACTCTCAGTGACACACTTTGCGGGGGGGGGGGGGGGGGGCATTTAATTTTTCTTGGCGTCTGGAAAAACATCTCCTTCTGCCCCCTGTGTTTTGGTCCAAGGCCATTAGTGGGCTGGCCCTGTTAGACACCTGCTACACCCCTGCTTAGTAGACTTAATGAAGTATTTTTAAGCCAGTATAAAAATGACTGAAACACAAATTTACATATTTGGCATTATTGACCAATATCTTTGATTTAATGTATTGTTAAGAACATCAAGATGCATTACGGTGAACATTATAATAAAGTACATGTTTCTAGTGCAGAGAGGAGACGACCCATAGAAGCACTGGTCTGACCTCATTTCAGAGAAAAATAGAACAGGTCAGATGCACCTAATAAATAAAATTACTGACATAAACTCAGGAATCTGTTTCTTTGCTTCACTGTTCTGGTGCTGAAAATATCACTAATGTGGATCAGAGGAGATACACAGATGAATGCACCTCTTATTTATTATTTGGACATTAGTGGGTGTGGTTTACATCAATACGGTATTTTAAATCTGAAATTGATATGGATTGATCAGAAGTTGATATGTGTATTGTTTATTAGAAAACTATTTACAGAGCAGCATCAGAACTGAGATTAATTATGTTTGATCACAATAGTAAAGGAACTATTACAGAACCAGTTTTTCAATAAAACCAGAACATTAATATTTAAGTGCATGGATTAATACATCTGAACTCATGCAGTAGGAACTAGGAAATATGAAATACTAGAACCATTTTATCTTAATTTGATTAAACTGATTTTTTCCTAACGTTGTTTTCCCACACACAGTTAAACAACACAATGTTGATAGAGGTGTGTGTGTGTGTGTGTGTGTGTGTGTGTGTGTGTGTGTGTGTGTGTGTGTGTGTGTGTGTGTGTGTGTGTGTGTGTGTGTGAGACAGGGAGAGAAAGAGAGAGAGTTAAAATAAAAAAAATTAAAAAACCGGAGCGGAGGCAGTGACTGACGCAGCACGAGCCGTTTTCAGCTCTGTCTTGTCAAATGCACCACGTACGTTAGTTACGGAAACAGTAACTTTAAATATTAAACTGAAAAAGAGGCGAGCTGAAGAAAACATAGGGAGCACTGAAGAAACATGAGCAACAGTGAAGCAAGCACAGAGAGATCCGTTACTGTCTGTGTGTGTGTGTGTGTGCGCGCCTGTGTGTGCGTGTGTGTGTGTGCGTGGATGAGCCAGAGCGAGATCTCGGCTGCAGAGTTTTGTGTGTAGGGAGGGGCGGGCACTCTATGTGACTGGCCAATCACAGAGTGTGAAGACAGTTAGTTACCCAATGAGGATTTTCCTTCAGCACGATTACAGATATTTACGAGTTTTACTCGTTTCATGCTGGCATTCGTCAAAAATGCTTTATCCGTACCGGATACTCGTCCCTAGCTGTAACCACCCTGCCCTGCCTCTGCCGGCTGTGATCACAAGCAACAACAGAGTAGTTCCCGCTGCTTCTTTGGGAAATGGCGCGAAAAAAAAAATCAATAAAACTTGGGATCTTGTAGGCGTGGCGCTGGGATTTCAGCCGTGGCGGGCCGCCACAGCTACGCCTATGGAAGGGAAACACTGCCTTATCTCATTTGCTTCTTGACAGTTAGGAAGAGATTAGTACACCCAAAAGACAAGATATCAGTGCAAAAATGTGGAGTCATATATGAAACTGCATCCACACAAATAAACAATAATGAACAAGAATCTGATTCTAGACCTGCAGAAAGAGAGAAGGAAAAAAAAGGGACACAACAACAATACAACAAGATCAAGTTATCACTGCGTCAACTTGATGAAGAAAATATATAATCAACATTGTTTAACTGAACAATCACACGATAATAAATCACAGTGCATTAAGTGCCCACCATAGCCTTAAGACATGTGTTGAACGTGCCCAAGTCCATACTTATGAGAGCACCATGTGAGCACCTGTGTGTGTACACGCGCTTGTTTATGTAAGGTTTCTCTATAGGAGCGTCCAATAGAGAGTGTGAGGGACCACAGATCTGCCCCCCAAAGATCTGCAGGAGAATTAATTTGGTGGTATTCTAAAAAGCTGTTCTTATCCATTCCAAATTGGGAGACTATTCTATTAAATGGGATGAAGTCCAATCCTTCATATATGTGTTCCAGGTATAGGATTCCTTTATTTTTCCAGTCCGGAAGGTTCATCATTTGGTTATTTTGCAAAATGTCAGGATTGTTCCAGATAGGTGTGCGTCTGCATGGTACTAGTGAAGACTCTGTCATTTTAAGATACTCCCACCATGCTGTCAGAGAGGTGCTGATACAAATACTTTTGAAGCTTTCATGTTTTCTTATGCTTGAGCTAATAAATGGTAAGTCTGAAAGCTCTATCGTATTGCAAAGTCTGTTCTATATCTAACCAGGACTCGTCTAATGGGTTATCTTGCAACCATCTTGGTATATATTGCAGCCTGTTGGCTAAGAAGTAATAATAAAAGTTGGGTAGATCCAGTCCTCCTCTGTCTTTGGTCTTCTGAAGTGTTTTTAAGCTAATTCGTGGAGGTTTATCCTGCCAAAGGAATTTGGTAATTGAGTCCAGAGATCTAAACCGGTCAGCTGGAGGTTTGTTTGGGATCATCGAGAATAAGTAATTTATTCTGGGTAAGACCATCATTTTAATTGTAGCAACTCTCCCCATGAGTGATATTGGTAAGGATTTCCATCTTGCAAGATCATCTTCCACTTTCCTTAAAAGTGGGATGTAGTTTAGTTTGGTTAGATCTGCTAACTTGGGAGAGATATTAATTCCCAGGTATGTGATATTCCCTGACTCCAATTGTGTATTAAGCAAATTGACAAAAGAGAAATTAATTGGTAGAACTGTGGATTTTAACCAGTTTATAGAGTAATCTGAAACTCTGGAAAAAGAGTTTATCAGTTCTATTGCTTGGTAGAGAGAGGATTGAGAATTCTGGAGAAAGAGTAAAACATCATCTGCATAAAGACTGATCTTATGTTCTATTTTCTTACACTTTATCCCTTTAATAACTGTTGTTTGCCTATTGCTGCTGCTAGTGGTTCAATAAAGATAGCAAACAGTGAGGGGGAGAGTGGGCATCCCTGCCTGGTCCCCCTCTGAAGAAAGAAGCTAGCTGATATTTGGTCGTTCGTCCTGACACGTGCTGTTGGTGAACTGTATAATGTTTGTAGCCAGTTTATGAAGAAGTTCCCAAAACCAAATTTATGTAAAGTTGCAAATAAGAACTTCCAGTTAACTCTATCAAAAGCCTTTTCTGCATCTAGAGATAATATACTAGTTTCCATGTTTCTACTGTAAGAGAAATCTATCAAATGTTGTAATCTACGTGAATTTGTGGGTGACTGTCTACCCTTGATGAAACCAGTTTGGTCAGGGTGTATTATGAAGGGGGTTACCTTCTCTAATCTTTTTGCCAGGGCTTTACAAATTATTTTGAAAAAAAAATTTATTTTGAGATCAACATTAATAAGAGAAATTGGGCGATAGCTGGTTGGAAATGCCGGGTCTTTGCCTGGTTTTAACAAGAGACTAATATTGGCTGAGTTCATGTTTGGCTGTAATCTGCCGCTCTCTTCGATTTCCCTCGGTAAGATTTAAATGATACGAAAGCCAATACATTTTGTTTTGGATGTACATATTTTAAACATATTTTCGCTTTTAAAAAAGAGATTTAATGTTATGTCCGACTGTGCTTGACAAAAGTATTTTAATTTTACTTATGCATTTATGTCTGTACTGACTGGGCACTGTGTCAAGAAGTGGCGTTCTTATTTACTTTAGTATGAGTTGGCCGATCAGCAACAAAGTCCAATCAAATATGCATTTTCCATTGAAGTACCCATCTGTCTTGTGTTCATTATCATTTTTCACATAATTAAAGCAATCTCATGCTAAATTTAAGAAAAATTTAATAATTATCCGATTAGTCGACTAATCGTTTCAATAGTCTGTGACTAGTCGACAATGACAATAGTCGTTAGTTGCAGCCCTAATAATGGACTGGGAGAACACACACAGGTCATGAACACAGAAATTCAAAAGATGGATCAGAAAAGCAATCGAGATAAGGAGACGTGGACCCAGGACCACGAACGGGGACGAAGGAGTCTACACCCTGGACCACCCATGGGACACGGTGATCAGTGGAGAAGGTGTCCTCTGCTGTCTGCGGATAAAAGGAAGTGATGCCACCAACATCCGGCGGCTGCTCTGACGAAGGTGGTAGTGAACGTCGAAACATGTCAGCAAAGGTGACAACAAACCCTTATCGCTCTGTGTATAATAAAGAACAAAAGAACATGAAATTGCTTTTAAAGCTTTTTAAATGTCTTAACAGGAAAAGTCCTTTTTTCACAAAGTCAATGAGCGTCTCTCCAGTCCCAATATCTTCATCCTCAATAACCGCTGGGACGCCTCAGCCTCAGAGCCGGAGTACATGGAAGAGGTTAGTCACATTTTCATCAGCGCCTGTGTACTAGCGTTTAAGAACAGCTTTTGTCCAGTCTACGTTACACTTAACCCCTATGTGGACCCTAAGTCTATGTAGCGTAGATAATCTACATACTAGGATTTAACACTGTTTGCTATCAGCTTGGTTAGATCCTGAGAAAAGATCAGACACATTAGCGTATGAGTTTATATCATGCATAAACATCTAGGATATTTATGCAATCAATAGAAGTTCATACACCAATGGGCTTGGTCTATATTTAATCCAAAGATTAATTTTTAATTTAAGATAATTAAATTAATAGCAAAAGTTTATTTATTAAACAGAAGACTTAATGGATTCTTTGCTTATTCAATAACCAAATACACACCATTCCGTGTTTCATTTCAAAGAAGAGTCAGGTTTAAAAAGTTAAGAATTTATTACTAACAGTTTTAAACATGACAATTTATAACAGCTTTGATATTAAAACTTGTTATTAAAAGCAGACCTGTGTCTGAATAGAAAACTAAAATGGAGTGTGTGTGTTGGATGCATGGATGGTATCTCAGAAGATTTCTTTCAGGGAGAGAAACGCGTTCTGGGTGGAAGATAGTGTTTTGCAGCTAACTGAATTGTTTCTTAGAGAAAACAGCATACAGACGCCATCTGTCGGAAAGTGTCTACCTCACCCAGGTCAGGAGACCCTTTTCTGGATCCGAGATGTCAGGTGGAGATGATGTCCTCCAGGCACGAGGTTGGTAGAAGGACCTCGGTGCGACTCAAATCAGTCCTGAGATGTCTCCGGGTCACAACGACTGATGAAACTAGTTGCGTCTCAAAATCCGTAACTCTGAAGGAGTTTTGGTTGGCTGGTTACAGGTGCGTTGATCCGGAGCAATCCTATCGGTGTGACAGAACAGCTTAGTGGAGGCTTCAGGCGGCCGACCCTCGTCATGAGACTCGTCGCCACGAGAGTATCTGCTTGGTTCAAGAACCAGACTTGAGCTGCGGAGATTTTGGTTTTAACAAAACCTCAGAGCACGCCCTCTCAGCGTCAGAAAGCTTGTTGTTATGGAGCAAAGACATGTGAGGTGGTTAACTTTACCCTGGATTCAGTTCTGCATGAGGTGTACACGTGCAAGATGACCTTCTGGTTACTGACCACACATTACTGATTATCATAAATAATAATTATTATTAACCAAAGAATAATAAGTCATCTCAGTAATTAAATACATTTATAATGAACTGTGATGAATATTTATGATGATTATAATAAACCTTGTGATAAACAGTAAAAAGAGTTTATTACAATTATTATTTTAAGATCTTGAAGTGTCCTTCATCTTGGGACGGAACAGCAGACAGATAAAGATGGTGTTTAGCAGACTGCACGGCTCCTGTGATGGATAACCTGTGGGACGAAAGTTACAGCTCGACCCAGCTCGACCTAGCTGGGGAAGGGTGACCTTTGGGTCACAAACGAGGCATTCATGCCGCCACATCTACCTTCGTACCATGGGTCCCCAGTAGAAAGAAAGAAAAAATAAATAAATGAAAGCCAATGGGCTTAAAAGCTATTTTCTAATCACATTTGATATGCTCCATGGATTCCACATATGATGTCCATGAAGTCTAAAAGGGACAGCGTAGCTCAGGAGGAAGAACTGGTTGTCCATTAATCAGACGGTTGTAGGGTTGATCTCGACCGCCGGCAGAGACTACTGTTCTGTTCTTGGGCAAGACAGTTATCCTGCATTGCCTGCTGCTGGTGGTCAGAGGGACCGGTGGTACCTGCGCTTGGCAGCCTTGCCTCTGTAAGTACGCTCCAGGGCAGCTGTGGCTACAATGTAGCTCATCATCACCTGCGTGTGAGGGTAGATAACTGATAGTAGTTTGAAGTGCTTTGGGAAGTTGGAGAACCCTAGAAGGCGCCATAGAAATACAAGCCATTTACCATTTAAAGACACCATTTTGATGCCATCAAAGCACTTATTTTTGACAGGCTGCAAAAGTTATTTTAGGTTTTGCGAACACACACGTGTAGGACTACAAATCTCTGTCGCACTAAATTGATGTAATTGAACGAGACACACAAAAGAGAAGTTTAGCTTAAAAGCTTTCAGTCCATCATCCAGCATGACGAAGGAGCATCAAATGTGGAGAAAACCACTATAAATGGCCATGTGGTAAGTAGCAGCTATGTTGGCAGAGAAGTGATTCTACGATTTGTAGATTTGTACAAAATGATTTGTAGTCATTTAAGTGGTAGTCTAAGAAATCTCAAAGTAATTGCTTTTCATTCAAATTGAAGTACAACATCTGTGTAATTCAGGTCGTAAGGCAAAGTAGAAAGAAAAGAGCTGAGTATTACTGTTTACATCCAGGTGGCTGCGCACATCCACACAACGCTGGAGGGCAAAAACCCCGTCTCCAGCCTTTTTCCAGAGCTGCACCTGTGGTTTAACCTGACAAAATAAAATCTGGCCATTTAGATCAGAAATTAAGCGACGTCATCCACTCAGGTTGGTGCTCTACAGCGAGAGGACATTCAGAATCAGATGCAGGAGAAATTAATCTGTCTTGCTTCAGTTAGCGAATACCTAGCTCATTTGTTGTGTTTTAGCATGGTTTGTCCTCAAGTTCTCACGGTTAGAGGAGCTGAATACTCTCTATGGTGCTAGTCTCACTGATATAGGTAGTCTTTTCTAGTCTTTCATTATTTTGTAGACTTTTTTTCTTGTGCACCTATTATTAAGGCTTGTTTTTACTTAACTGGTGTACGAGTTTACTTTGAGTATTAGCTCCTCCTACCTTGGAGCTTTTGCCCAATGAGAAATGTATTTACTTGTTAAGCTCACCTGTAAAAAGTCTAACTAACTTTTCCGATGTAAGTGATGGTTACACTTTAGGTGTTGAATTGTTAGTTTCTGGGGTTTATTTTGCACCTGTTTGTACTCACTTGAGTGCTCCAGCTCTCCTGCTTCTCACTAGGGATTCAGATATTACTACTTTAGATCATCTAACCCAACTTTGTGCAGAAGAACAAAAAGAGAATAGTATCAAAGCTTCCAGATCAGTTGGAAATATCTAACGAGTTGTGAGCCGACAGTCCTCCTCAGAACCGGCCGTCTCGACTTACACAGCTGAAGCAACGAAAGTGTAAGCGATAGCTTCCATGTTTTGCGGTAAATGCAGAAGGATCACTATGACACTGTTCATCTTTGGAGATTAACAGAGTCTGTGTAAACACACGGTGGTCAACGGGGAAATGCAGGCTTCTCGCCAGGTGTGTGGTGCTTGATGGTATGTGTCACGAGGTCTGAAGCCTCTTTCACTTGCATTGATTTTTTTTGTTCTGAGGATCCATGGTCCTATATAGAAATCTATGTATAGATATATGTATATATATAAATACACGTGTGTATGTATAAAATAGAATAGACTGTATTGATCCCACAGTGGGGAAGTTCACTGGTTACAGCAGCACCACACAAGAGAATAATTTGAAGAAAAATGATAACAGAGGTGCATGTATTTATACACATAAGCAGTAGTCTGTTATTGCAACCTTCGACCGCTAAAAACCACAAATAAGTGAAAAAGCTTACAGAACTATGCAGCATACTGCAATAGACACGGACATACTATGTAAATCTGGTATTGCACAAGTATTAAATACTGAGTATTGCATTGGTGGTATTGTGTACCAGGATGATGCCAGTACCAGTTAAACTGAGGAGGTCTACACTCTTACTGCAGAGGGGATGAATGACCTACAGTAACGTTCTGTTTTACATCTGGGATGTCTCAGTCTGCCTCTGAAGGAGCTGTCCATGGTCTCCACAGTGGAACGCGGTGGGTGGGAGGGGCTTTTTAAGATGTAGGTCATCTTCCCCAGCATCTTCCTTTCGCTCGTCTCCTCAACTGAATCCAGTGGGCAACTCAGAACCGAGCTAGCTTTTTAACTAGCTTGTTCAGTCTCTTCCTGTCTCGGTCAGAGCTGCCTGCACCCCAACAGACCACAGCAGAGTGGATACCAGAGCCAACCACAGAGTGATAACAGGATTTTTGCTGCTGGGAATGAATTCTGAAGGACCTCAGCCTCTTCAGGAGGTGGAGGTGGCTTTGGCCCTTCTTATACAGAGCATCAGTTTGCTGTTGAGGTAAACACCCGGGTACTTAAAGGTATCCATATCATTGTCTGCTCCCTGGATGTTTACTGGTGAGAGAGGAGTGTTTCTCTGGAAGTCAGTCACCAGGTGGTTACGCTCACACCAGTCCACAAAGTCTGTACTACAGATCATTCCCCTCAGACACACAGCAGACAATCATCAGAGACCTTCTGGAGGTGACAGCTGCTGGTGTTGTAGGTGAAGTCTGAGGTGTAGAAGGTGAAGAGAAAGGGTGAGAGCACCAAACCCTGTGGAGCTCCAGTACTGCACACAACCACTTCAGATGTACAGTTGTGCAGCCTCTCGTACTGTGGCCTGTTGGTGAGGTTGTTGATGGTCCATGCAGTCAGATGTTTGTCCACACCTGCAGCCCTCGGATGGATGGTGTTGAAGGCACTGGAGAAGTCAAAGAGCATGATTCTCACAGTGCTCTTTTGCATCTTGAGGCGAGTCAGAGCCCGGTGCTGCTGGTAGATGAGCGTGTCCTCCAACCCATGTTTGGTTTTTATGCAAACTGCTGTTGTATTTCCCGGGTCAGGGTCACCACAGAACGTAGATGGGTGAGGATGAGTCACTCCATAGTTTTCATCAGATGGGAGGTCAAGGTGACAGGTCTGTAGTGGTCTGGTTCTCTGGGATGTGATGTTTTGAGAACTGGAACCAAACGTGAGGTCTTCCGAAGGTTGGAGACCTGCTCCAACCGAAGGCTCAGGTGGAACATGTGCTGACCACTTCTCAAAGCTGGTCAGCACAGTCTTTGAGCAGTCTGGGGCTGATCCTGTCAGGACTTGTTGCTTTTCTGCTTTTAAGCCGCCTCACTTCTTGCCTCACCTGGTCCAATGTAACTGAGGGGGGGAGTGATGGAGAGTGTGGTGCTGAGGAGGGTTAGTGGAGGGGGAAAAGCTGATGAATAGGGAGCCTAAGTTACGACCATCTACTTCTGGACCATGGGTCACCGAAGATTTAGGGCTGGGCAATAAATAAAAAATTTATCGTTATCGAAATTTCTGAGTCTTATTGAGATAATGTGGGGCAATGGTGGCACAGGAGTTAAGTGCTTGTGTCATAATTGGTAGGTTGCAGGTTTGAGCCCAGCTCAGTCTGTCGCTGCTGTTGTGTCCTTGGGCAAGACACTTAACCCCACTTCCCTGCTGGTGGTGGTCAGAGGGACCGGTGGCGCCAGTGCTCGGCAGCCTCGCCTCTGTCAGTGCGTCCCAGGGCAGCTGTAGCTACATCGTAGCTCATCCCCACCAGGGTGTGAATGTGTGTGTGGATGGGTGAATGATTGGTTGTGTTGTAAAGCGCCTTGGGGGTTCCAGGACCGTAGAAGGCGCTATATCAGATACAGGCCATTTAGCTGAAAATTTCCTATGTCAATAAATTTGATCATTAAAAACTGAAAAGATGTGTGCAGGTTGGCAACATTCATGCTCCTTTAAGAAGCTGTACCACCTGAGTCACATAAAAATGTGACTCAGCCTAATACATGTGACAGCCCCATCTAGTGGACAACTTTTGCTTCTGTGCACACCTGTAGTTATCGTTCATTTATCATTATTGATGTGAAATCCTCAATACATCCTGATATTGATTTTAGGTCATGTCGCCTATAGCCCTATTTGGAGTCATTGTAACAGTTAGCAGATGTAATCGCCTCTCACTGTTATGAAACTAACTCACGGATCTTCAGAAACCCCCAGCATGACGACATCAAAGCCAACCAAGTCTGTACATTATATTTAGACATGAATTATTCCCATGCACACACACACTTACACTCAAAACAAAACTTGGGTAACTTGAAACAGAGAACCAAGGGGGAGCAACCCCCCCCCCCCCCAGTTGCGATTCAAGGTGAGTTATTAGATTTAAGGGTAGTGCCACCATCAAAGTTTGTGGAACCCTTGTGAGGTTTGGTTTGGTTCCTGTGGACCCACATGTACACGGGATCTTTGTGACTTTTGGTGATTGTGATCTTATAAACGACCGGAGGGAGTTTTTCAATGATTAGGTATGGACCTGACCACTTCAGCAAAGGTTTCTTAGCCAGTTTACCAGAGGTGCCTTTTATCTGTCCAGACTAAGGAGCAAAGTTGTAGAACCAGGTCTTATCACCTACGTGGAGTTCAGAGTGTGAGGCCTTTTGATCATAGTTAGCTTTCGTGCCCTCTGCTGATTTCCCCACATTTGTCTGTGCAAAAGACAACGCTGCAGGCAGATGGTTCTTCAGGTCCTGTAAATACTGCTTGTTAGTGTAAGCGGGAGAAGCACTGGACTGAACTGACCGACACAGCAGGTGAAGCGGCATGGTCATCTGTCTACCCGTCATCATTTCAAACAGGGAGACGCCTGTAGACTCATGGGAAGGGACCCGTATGGCCACAAGGACCAACGGAAGCTTCACATCCCAGTTTCTGTGATTAGAGGACACGTATTTCTTTAAAATGGTGACAACCGTTCGGTTCATCCTTTCTACTTGGCCAGAAGACTGGGGCCGATAACCAAGGTGGAAATCGGCTTTTACCCCCAACATCTGCCAAAGGTGTTCCATCACTTCAGAGGTGAAGTGAGTTCCCCTATCTGAGTTAACACATGCGGGGAGGCCGAACCGGGAGAAAATGGGGTTCATCAAAAGGACAGCAGTTGTTTGCGCCGTGTCGTTATGTGCTGTTAAACATTCAACCCATTTGGTGAATGCACAGGTCACGGTCAACAAGTATTTGTTACCTCTGCTGGACTTGGTCAGGGGCCCCACCCAATCAAATTGCAGGTCAGACCACGGTGTGGACGTTCCTCTGCTTTGTGGAGGAGCTCTTTGGATGGGGTTTGATGGTTGAAATTGACAGCAAACCAAACAGCTCTGGACATAGTCTGAGATGTCTTGACGCAGTAAGTAACCTGGCTCAAGGCACCAAACGTGGCTTTGACACCTTTGTGTCCAGCAGAAGGAGAGTCCTGAGCTGGTGTGATAATACCCCCCTTAGGGAAGGCGGCGCCACAAGAACAGGCGACGATGGAGGCTTGGAAGCATGCATTAGCAACCCTTCAACCATTCTCAGTGTGACACGAACATGAAAGAGAGCACTGAGCTCAGGAAAGGATTCAAGCTCGACAGAAGAAGGTAGATGAGCTGTCGGATCAGAAAGGCACAGGATCATCCTGCTGATAGGTGGGTCTGACTGGGAAAACACATCGTCAGGGAGCCACAAGGCGTTGAAGGACCATGGGGTACCAACAGCTGCACCTTGTTTGGCAAGAGGGTCTGCAAGGTCATTCATCTCCTTATCAGTTCTGGGTGCTAGGCCAACTCGGGGTTAGGTGGCTGCGGGGAGGCCTGGGGCTTTTCGTTATCATCTCCCAGTGCTCTGATGGCTGCTGGTTTCGACCCCCCAGTGTAATCCTCTGAGCTTCTTGTGAGGGGGGTTGGGGCTTCTCTGACAGCTGTCTCCCTGGGGTTCCTGCGCTTTGGGGAAACCCATGGATCTCTAGGGCTTGGAACTCCTCCATCTTCCACACGTCTTTGGTGATAGGTCTGTGACCCCTCACACTCACTATCGGACACTCCTAGAGAAGTTAAGTATAGTACAGTTAAGTATATGCACACAGGTGCTCACGTGGTGCTCTCACGAGGATGGACTTTGGCGATTTCAACACATCACCTGTGTGGTGGCTGTGGTTGGCATTAAATGAACAATTAATTATTACAATGTGTGTCTCAGCAAAATGGTTACTTTTATATATCCTCATGTAGTTGGTGCAGTGATATTTTGGTCTTGTTGTCTTTTTGTGTGTCTCCATTTTTTTTTCTCTGTTTCTGCTGGTCTAGAAGCAGATTCTTGTTCATCAGTTATTGCTAATTTTTGTGACCCCCCCACTCACACACACACCTCTTCCCTCACTCTCCCTCTGTCTTTCACCTCTGTCTTCATGTCCGTTGGTATTTAAAACAACGAAAATATTTCTAATGAAGTTTTGGTATCAGGAGTAGCATTATATCCCAAGTTCTTATCTCCACCCGTGGGAATAAAATTTCAAGGCGTGTCTTCAGCATTCAGACATCGATTCTGATGACAGCCAGACAGGACCTGGTAAAAATAAAAATAAATAAGAGGATACATTTTTAACAATAATAACACGGTAACATAAAAGTTACACTCACCCCTAATTTAAGTAATTGCCATATTTTTTCACTTGAAGTTGATGGTTCTAGTTTTTTTAAAGCCATTATGTAAGTGTCTTCTGTTGTTGAACTGCTTTATAAAGTTGGCTAATGTTGGGAATGTTTGCTTGTCAACTGAATGGGCTTTTCCCTCTGGTGTGCTTCCATGGTTTGTCTTAGTTTGTGCTCTTCTGCTTTGACAGGTACGCAGGCAGCATATGGACCGTTGCACCACCTTCCTGGTGGATGAGTTGGGTGTGGTTGACAGAGGCCAGGCCACCGACCGGATCTTCTTTGTGTCTGCCAAAGAGGTTCTTCAGGCTCGTGTGCAGAAGTCCCAGGGAATGCCTGAAGCAGGTGGGGTCTCACCTAGCTCCTAACAACTTGGAAAGAAAGTACTTTTTAAAATGATAATTCAGTCCCAAAACATCCACTAAAATAGTTTAGATGTGTTTTTACTGTAGTGATTGCCAGTCGAAAGGAAAAATCACATGGCATGCCTGTCCTGCTTGCAGTTTGAGCTGTGTGTTTGCCTTCCTTCTGAGCAGTGATGGTGAGCTGCCCAGATGTAAACCTTCTAGAACCTGAGTCCAGCTGACAGCATACCACACTCAACAGTACATGTCATGTACAGACGGGGACACAATTGTTTATACCCTTCAGTCAATGAAAGAAAAACCCACAATGGTCAGAAATAACTTGAATCTGACCAAAGTAATAATATATGAAAATTCTATGAAATTTACCCAATGAAAGTTAGACATTGCTTTTCTACCATGCTTCAATGGAAATATTTAAAAATAAACTCAGTTAAAGGCCTGAACAAAAATAATGGTATCTCATTCAGGTTAAGTGGAGACTTCTACTACCACTTCAACATAAACTACAAGAGTCCCAAAAACAAAAACGCCATTTGAAGTCACGGCGTTGGAAAAAACAAGGTTACTAACAGAATTACTTTATTTTTGTCACGTTTAATCAGCTTATGCACTTTTTCTACGGTCTTAACTCAGTCTTCGTTACTGATGAGAAAATGCAGTGCATTACTATGAGTCAGCAGTGATGTGTGTTGAAGCTCTCATCATCTGAGAAGGAGCTAAAGGGCGGATGGTTACATCCAAGAGCTTGATGGCCGTTGAGCAACGAGGAAGGCGCGACCAATAGTTGAATTTGGCTTTCATCCAAGTTTGTAAATTTAAGTCCTCGACTGGGACCTTGGCTCCTCTGAAATGATAACAATTCTGTCCCATCACGGGGGAGGGGGATGTCCAGGAGGGGGAGGACCCAACCTTACCTGGATGTCCTTTGTCTTACATATTCTGGAAGTTGTGCAAATGCAGAGATGGGAGTAGATATTCTGCTGGGGTGGGGCTGGGTTGGTGCCCTCGAACTCCATGGGGCTCTGCGATGCTGCTGCTTTGGGCCCTGGTTAGATGGGCTGGGGTCTCCATGCCCAGGGTGGCATTTGGAGAACGGAGGTGCCTATTGGAGCCAGTGGGGGAGCTGGCTCCCTGGAGGGCTTAGCCAAACAGCCATTCATCCCCATCCCCACATATTTCTCTCCTCCTGCTCCCTCACATCATCACACAAACATCAGGGTATCCGCGGGTCCTTAAAAAGTCTTAAAAAGTCTTAAATTTGCTTTTCTAAATTTAAGGCCTTAAAAATCCTTAAAAATGACAAATAATCCTTAAATACAGTTTCCAAAGGTCTTAAATTACCAAAGACCCAATGAACAAGAATTTCTAGCATTTTTTGTGTACGATGTTGGCGTAAGCGGAACCGTACACATTCAGTTGGTTGTGAAAGAGGGCTATTTTTAGATGAGCACATTAGCTGGTTAAGCTTGTGCCATGGGGAAGTGCAAGTTTAATGGTAACTGGGTGGGTAATCTCACGTTTGCGACGTGGTTAGCACCGGTTCCAGGCAATAGCTGGAAATTATAGCTTAAATTTCATTTAAAAAATAGCTTAAATTTGGTCAAAGTGGCCTTAAAAAAAGGTCTTAAAAAGTCTTACATTTGGCTCCCTTAAACCTGCAGATACCCTGAAACATGCACATAGGACCTTGGGGTTGGGCAAGTCAGGGGGTGCGGGTATGGATCCCAATTCCTCATTTCTGTGGCAGCCTGCCCCCCAATTTTATTTGCACATTAAACACTTCCACCAACGACATTCCAGTCAAACACACACGTAGGGCCTTGGGAGTGCGCACACTCAACGGCATTTGGCAAAGGGACCTTTCAGCCTCATCCCGAGTGCCGGTGCCCACTTCCAATTATAAATTGCACAGAGGGCTGTGGGGGGAAGTGGGGCTGTGTGGTGGCATCAGCTGATTGATCCCGGTGGCTGCCTGTTGGGATCTGACTCCCTGGGCTCTGTTGGGTCCCCAGCAGGGCTGGTTGCCCCTGGGTCCCGGGTCGCAGGGTTCCGGGTTTGGTCGGCTAGGGGGTGGGAGACTGCGGGCGGGCCTGTGGGCTTGCCGCTTCTATCTCCCGGGACTCTGCCGGCTGCTGGTAGTGGCCCCTTGGGGCAATCCTCTATGCCTCTCGAGAGGGGATTGGGGCTTCTCTGGTTACGGTCTCCCTGGAGTCCCTGCACTCTGGGGCAGCTCCTGGATCTCTGGGACTTGGAGCTCCCTCCATCTTCTACACATCTTTGGGGGGCAGGTCTGTGGCCCCTCACACTCTCTATTAGACTCTCCTATATTAGAAACCTTACATATACAAGTGCATGTACGCACACGGATACTCACATGGTGCTCTCATAAGTGTAGAAGTGCTTGTACTGCAACTTGACTCGACCACTGACTTGTATCGTTAACGTTTGATCTCCCCAAAATCAACACAAATCGGAAGGAGCCTATACTGAGTGGCGAAATTACGAATGCTAAAGATTAGTTTATGGTAGGCGAGACATTCTCTGCAGTTTCCTGGACACTAAACCGAAAACAGCCTTCCCCGTCGTGAGTCAAGATGGGTGAGTCCATGAGACAGTGACAGTGAGACGTAGATCTATGAGGCTTTTCTAATCCTTTACTCCTGTAGGAGTATGGTGCCAAAATACATGCATGTGATTTCCACGCATGTGTGAATGTGACATGTGAATGGAAATTAGAACTCTCAAATGAAAATCACGAGAGGGCATTTGTACACTGAGAGAGTAAACTGTGTCTGTGAGCGCACAAGGATATGCACAAGTGACACACATGCGCGTGTCTGCGCTTTTGGTTGCTGATTCAGCTTCCTTGGCTGTTTGGAATTTTGGCACTCTGGAGGCGGGGCCTGTGGCTGATCTGCTCTTTCCTACAACAAATAATTTTTGCCTGAGTTCTCTGAGTTTTTAGCTAACTATGCGTCTCGGCATGACCAGGTCATGCTACTTGGAGACTGTAATATTCACGTTTGACGTCCTGAAAAACCGCTGGTCTTGGATTTTATCAATCTTGTGAGCTCTTTAAATTTGACGTGATGTGTTAGTGGGGCCACTCAGGCATGTGGTCACACGTTGGACCTTGTGCTGTCACTTGGATGTACTGCGTCTAAAGCCTAATTTATGCTTCTCCGTGAGCTCTGCAACGGAGAGACGCACACGGAGTGTCGGAAAGGTTTCCACATTCGAACTTGTGTTCAGGCAGCGGAGTGTTGGAAAGCAATTCCCCTCTAGGACAACCGAGGCCGTAGCGCTGTTCTTTGGTATCCTGCCACCGTAACACTCGTGTATACGGTCCCCGATAGTGTATTTACTAATGAGTTTATATATTTCAAAGATTTTAACACGGACAAATTAGTCCTTCATTCTCATCCTCCTCTTGATGTGGTCGCCACCTCTACACCCACATTTTCTGTAGTTTCTGTCCACATTTGCTTCGTATTTTGTACTTCTTCGTAACACAGAGGGAAAACCCCAGATGTAAAACAGATCCAGGATCAGTCAAAACTGCAATAAAACAGCAGCTTTGATGGTCACGTGACCTGTATAACCAACGTTACCGGGTCAAGTGCATCTGAACCCACGCGCTGCAGCCTGCAGTCCAAAGCTGACACAGCTCAAAAAATTCATGCACAGTTGTGGTTGGACTAAATAATTAATTGATAATGTTATATCAACTGTATATTATGTGCATTACTTTATTAGAATATCCATCAAGCAAAACACATCAGCCCAATGTTTTTTATTTAAATTCTTTTACCAGGGCCAATGAAGTCATCATCTGGGTAATGAAATATACCGTAAATCCTCTAATACAGGCCCGGGCCTGTATTTGACTCAAGCTCATCAAGCTCCAGGCCTTTATTGGAAGGAGGGCCAGTATTAGAGGCAGGCCTCTATTTCTATTTGAGCAAAATGAGCTAATGGTTCGCTGGAGTTTTTGACAATTAAAATTGCGCCCACATTTTCAAAGTTAAACACATTTCTTTTAACAACGGTAGTTTCTGCTTCAGCCCTCTCCCCCCTCCCCCTGCTTCAGCCCTCTCCCCCCTCCCCCTGCTTCAGCCCTCTCCCCCCTCCCCCTGTGCAGCGGCTGCAAACTCACTGATGCGCCTGCAGCCTCTCGGAGTTCCTGCTGCTCTAAACATTAAAATAATTATTTCATTTTCTGTTCCTCACTTCTGATTACCTTCAATGGTGTCTGTTTGTTGCAACCAGCAGGTACAAAAACTAACTTGTTTTTATTTGACTATTTTTCTGTCCTGCCTGTTTATTATCTTCCTGCATCTCCTCTCAATCCTAAAGAAAAACTGCTACCTGGGTTCATATATATTCACCTCATGAGTTACCTTTGAACTGCAGTTCTAAAAGATCTACCGACTGCAGAAACAGCGGAGCGCTCGCTGTTTGGCGGCCGTATCAGTGATCAGTGCGTCGGAGGACAAGGTGATGCGCGCAGCGCCCCGCTCCACAGCATGCAGCGAAACGCATCAGGCGCAAATAAAAGACAGAAAACATTAAAGGAAATGAACTGACATGAACGATCGCGTGTTAAATTAGTTTTTAAGGTGGCGACACCTGATTGTTACTGTGGCCGTTCTCAGGAGGCAGATCTACCGACCGCGAAAACAGCGGAGCGCTCCCTGCTTGCCGGCCGCATCAGTGATCGGTGCGTCGGAGGACAAGTTGATGCGCCCCGCTCCACAGCAGCGATACACATCAGGCGCAAATAAAAGACAGAAAACATTAAAGGAAATGAACCGACATGAACGATCGCGTGTCAGTACCTACGGGAGCGTGGTGTCACAGACGCGGAAGTGATAGCGTCGGTGCAACGCCGGCTGCTCTAGGAAACCCCCGAGCGTTTGAGCGTCAATGAAGTGACACGGAAATGCCGGGCTTTCCAGAAGTAAGTAAGAGAACTTACTATGAGCTGATAGTTCGTTGGATTGATCGGTAGGTTGGAAACTCTGATCATGAATCTGAAGAAACGATGACTGAGCTGTAAAGGCGACTTCCGTTGATAGCCGTGGTTTGTGACGTAGGTGCGACGTGAAGGGAATCCCCGCGAGGGGCATGCTGGGAGTCCCTACTTCGCGGATTTTCACCTATCGCGGCCAGGTCTGGAACGCATCTACCGCGATAAACGAGGGATTGCTGTAGTTCATACACCCCCTACTGCTGCTCTCCAGAGTGTTCTGCAGCATAATCAGCACGTTCTCTTTGAACTTGATAGTGTAATGACCTGGCTGGGGTTGTAAGCCAGGTGCATTCTGGGTATTGTGTTATATGTGTTTCCTATCGTTCTGCTAGTTCCTATGTGCTGATTTGCGTGTTGTGTGAGTGTTATGTAAGCCACAGGGAAGGTGATGTGTGTTCTGTGGAGCGGGTTGAATTAGCATGGTTAACTGACACCGTGACTCTGTGTGGTAGGAGCGTGATAGAGGATCGTGTCTGTAGCGTTACAAAGCGTTGAAGAAAAAGCCTAATAAAGGTCTGCGTGAACCTCTACTGCCTCCTGCTGGTTGATTTGGGGACTATAACCCTGCCGCTGGGACGCTCATACTTGCTTGTTACCACATTCCATCTGGCCACAATAAGAGACCGGCCATTATTTACCTCCACCGACTCCGACACCGGCCAAAATTGGAGACCCGGCCTTTAATTGAATACCGGCCTGTATTAGAGGATTTACGGTACATTTTTCTGCTTACCACCTTTAATGCTCTCACTGACCACTAGGGGGGAATCACTGCCTAGACTCAATCTGTTAGTGTTGTTAATGTTAGTGACTGCATGCAGTCTCCCCAGGGAGACAGTAACCAGAAAGCCCCAGCCCTCTCCAGAGGCCCACAGGCCCGCCCACAGCCTCCCACCCCCAAGCCAGCCGAGCCCAGAACCTCGGGACCCAGGGGCGACCAGCCCCGCCGGGGACCCAACAGAGCCCAGGGACTCAGATCCCACCAGGCAGCCACCGGGATGGATCAGGCAGACTCCAAAAATCTTAAGCTCCCTGACCCTGGATCCACATGTGGATCCACAGGAAGTTTAAACACACAATCATTAATGTGATGACTGTGCGAATGCACACACACACACACACACACACACACACACACACACACACACACACACACACACACACACACACACACACACACACACACACACACACACACACCAGTGAAGACAACACTAGCTAGCTCAGGGGGCTCTGATTGATGTGGGAGTGTGTCCACAGAAGAAGAAGAAAATATCATCTCTATAGCGCCTCTCAAGATAAAGATCACGAGGCGCTTAAGACGGATGAATGTCTCCATGTTTTGGGATATTTTCTGAGGATAACGTCACCTGACTTAAACAGAGGAGATGGATCAGGTCAAACTACAATGATGATGTCATCAGCATATCTCGTTAATGTTGTATTTCAGGTGGTGCCCTCGCTGACGGGTTTCAGGCCCGAATGTTTGAGTTCCAGAACTTTGAGAGGAGGTTTGAAGTAAGTGGCTGAGGCTGGCCTCTCAGAGGTGCTGTATACAGTTTAATCTGAATATTTTTATTGTATATATATTAATATTTCAAATACTATAGAATATGGTATGGTAAGACTACTAATTGCTATTTGCATTTTTTATTTTTAATGTCGAAAAAACAATGAAATCCCGAATTAAATATTTTAAATCAGAACTTTTTTGCATAGTGCAGAAAAACAATCTTTGATTCAATCGTTAATTTTAGTAATTTTCATGCAAAAGCCTCAGAATGCTCCCCTCCCTCAACCTACCCACTGACCATAAGACCCACCCCTTGCTCTGAAGTATCACCCATTTCTCCGAGGGCCTGCCCACTGACTTTAAGGCCCTAACAGAATCCTAACAAAATGGTCCTTTATTTTAGAACTGGAGTTCTCATCTTGGTCCTGGAGGGCCAGGATCCCAGCCCAGTGAACCAGACCAAAGTGTGGTCTAGGAACGCTCCATTGGAACCTCTGCAGCCCCAGCAGCAATCTGGCTGGTCAATCACATCTCTATAGGGGTTTTAAACTGATAATGCGTGGACCAATCACAGCGCTTTATCGGCTTTGTGGGCCAATCAGGGCCCTCTATTGTCTGTTGTGCGGGATGATGCGACAAAGTGCAACACGATGGCGACAGCTCATTTGAAAAGGCTTGTAGATCAGGCTTGGTCTACTGGACTCGGGCTTTATTAGAATCGAGAGCAGATGGATGCATCTAAGTTCTTTATTAGGAAAAGAGGGTTTATGATCGCCTTCAGCAGCGGACTGCCTCGTTTACTAACACTGGTTGCAGTGAACGTGTTCAGTGTCCAGTAGCATGTGGAAATCATTTTAAAGACCGCGGTAGGACCCGCCCCATGACTGAGGGCCGCCAATGGAGCTCTGCCAGACTAAATAATAGATTTATTTAGAAGCCTGCCAATCACCTGCTGCAGAAATCTAGGCCCTCATTTATCAAAGGTTGGTAGAAACTGTCCTTTTACCTTCCCACTAATGAAATTTAAATTGTGCGTACCAGCAGTCAAAAACCTGATTTATGAAATATGCGGTGGACTCTCGTACGCATGTCCCTCTGCAACCATCTGATGATACATCCCACCTGTGCGTACCCAGGTGCTCTTGTCCCTTCTCAGTCATTTACATACAGACACGCCCTCGATTAACCATATTTGGTCATGCTACGTCCTCAGCACATAACGGAATTCCCAGTTTTTTTCCCGGAAAAATAAGAACAACTTTATTGGCAGCCAGATCGAGACACTGGCTGCCAAAGTGCAACAAAACTAAACAAGTAGCAGAGGTTATAAGTGCAGTGAGAGGAGACAGAGGAGAGGTTCCTGTCAGGAACAAACTAAGAATGAATCTGATAAATCACAGAGTAACCAGACGCGGAAGCGCCGCTTCTGGTGTGTTCCGGGCGTTACATGGAAATGTCTGAGAGCGCAGCCTCTTCTGAGCTGTCATTCAGTGTGGTTACCTTGGCAACGATGCGTGTGTGATCGGGGAGCAGAGGAGGTTCTGGGGGGTTCTTGTAGTTGTAAAACTGGAATCGGATTTGTGAGGTTTGTCTGTCAACATCTCCCAAATCACAGCAGAGCAGAAGGATTTCCTTTGAGATCAGTGAGATCACGCGTTCTCTCCAGAGAGCACGCTCCGTTAAACCCTCCATTAACACAGATTAGTTATGCCCCCCCCCCCCCGAGTACAACTTACAGGTATTGATTCCTACTAGAGACCACCACAGACGTATTACAATGTTAAGATAATAAAGTACAAATGTTTGATGAGTAACAAAGTCTCCAGCTCTGCCTCATGTCTGTTCTTGTCCTCTTAACGTCTGTCTAGGAGTGCATTTCACAATCTGCAGTAAAGACCAAGTTTGAGCAGCACACAGTGAGAGCCAAGCAGATCTCAGAAGCTCTGCGTCACATTATGGACTCCATTCACCTGGCTGCCCATGAGCAACGGTGCGTGTTTGTGTGTGATTGTGCATTTAAGCGGACTCATTTGCTGGTCCATACAACGCAAAAAACTTAATACATGCAGAGGTTTGGCATGACTTTTAGCTTAGGTTAGGGTTAGGGTATGAGCTAGGCACAAGGCTGGCGTTGCTCCCAACAAGGAGGGCCTATGTTTGCAGTTCCACCCTCATCCACTAGGGGCTGGTGTCAGAACAGAGCAGATCCTCATTGAGTCCCATGTTAAAAATACCATCTTCACAGCAGAAATAAACATGTTTACAGCCTGGTTCAAAAACCATTCTAGGTTTAATAGATCTAGTTTACATTCATGACAACTCAGGTTTTTATTTTCTAACTCTTCTGTTTATGTGTAATGAAATGCTTCAAATGATGAATAAACAATGAGCATAAGAGCCACGAGCTAGCGCTAGCACCGAGATCCGGGGAAAGGCCTCAGCTGGTTTCACATAGATCCAAAACAAAACAAAGTCATAAAATCATAATGATCTTCAAACAGAAATAAATGAGAATCAGAAAAACCTCAGAGCTGACGCTGATGTTGGCGTCGCTTCCTACTCCGTTTATCCGCGGGTGCTGTTTGCAGTCGGCAAACGAAACGTTGGCAAAGTAAAGAAAAACCTTTCCTGTGTTTTAAAAAGAACCAAAAATGGAATTAGAAACTAAACACAGCAAGAACACACCAAAGAAGAACGCACAGACGCTACAACTGATGGTCCAAGTTGAGAGACTGAAAATCCCGGAGCAGTTTCCAGGCCAGACTGAGGCTCTACTGAGGCCTTTCCCCGGAGCTAGCTCTGTGGTCACGTGGGTCTGATGCTCATTAATTATACAGAATTTTAGGCTTTTAATACACTTAAACAGAAGAGTGAGAAAAACATTCACCCCCCCTCAGAGTTGTCATGAGTGTAAACTAGATCATTTAAACCTAAAACATGTTCTGGTACCAGGCTGTAAACATGTTTATTTCTGCTGTGAAATTGGTATTTTTAACATGGGAGTCAATGAGGATTTGCTCGCTTCTGACACCTGCCCCTAGTGGATGAGGGTGGAACTGCAATTTTTGGTACTTCCGGGTTGGCTTAATGTCAGACCCGCATTGTGGGGGCTTGGACGAGACGTGTGACACTGTCAAAATGGCGATGGTAGGAACCTCCCATTAAAATCAATAGCATCATTTGAGCCTGTGGACGTTATTCGTCCGTAGTGTATATGTCCATGTTTAGGCATGGTGGAGTCACTATCATGAATGGAAGTCAATGAAGGGTTCACACAAACATACAAATACAAGTGTGTGTGTGTGTGTGTGTGTGTGTGTGTGTTCAGAGGCTACTGCATTGAGACAAAGGAAGACCGTCTGGAGCGACTGGAGTTTATTGAACAACAACTGGACCTGCTGACTCTAGACTGCAAGATCAAGATTAAGAAGATCACAGAGGAGGTTGAGAGGCAGGTGAGACTTCAGCCTTTCTACGCTGTTCACATTTTACATTTAACACTTTTAGTGAAAACTGTTTGTATTAATAGTGCCACTCAGAAATCAGACAAGGATGAAAGCAATGAAATGCATTAGAGTTGGCAGCCCTGATACCAGAAGTGATCAGACTTACTTGGTGCTCTTCAAGGTATCCAACACTATGGCAGAGGAAATCAGGAAGCTACACGTGCTGGTAGATGACTTCCACGTGGACTTCCACACATCACCAGTGGTGCTGAAAGTCTACAAAAATGTGAGTTGAGTCCTGGTGTAGTAATTAGTCGTTGTTGTGAGCCTGAACCCACACCTGTACTCTACCATCTGTCAGTGTTGGTGCTCTGGCTGCTTACCACAGTACCACATGGAGGTCTGTTATGTGGATGACACTCTTATTACCAACTCACACCATGTGGCCCAATTACAGAAGTTTACCAAGATGCTAAATCATTTACAGTTACGATGCAAGAGGGTTCCTGTGTGGTCTTAAAAAGTCTTAAAAGTAATTTAGGAATTTGGAAATTAGACCTTAAAAAGTCTTTAAAAAGTCTTGAATTTTGACACCTGGGTCTCAAAGTTTGTGCTGTATGTAGATTATCTGTACTTTATTTATCAGCCACAATAAATAAACGGTGGCGGCATCAATAATTGAGAACGCTGCGAAGCCTCGCGTCAAAATACTCCGAACGTGTGATGTATTCACTACAGAATACAACGGTAAACATTACACAGACGTCCCGCAGAGGAGGAACGCGGGAAGTCTCAGCAGACCATGAGAAAGGCTGGTCACCCGCCAGGCTAAGCGTAATGCCCCCCCCCCGACCTGTGTCCGCTGACACGAACGGCGCACGGCAGTGGGTGCTGCTGCTGTTTGGATCGCTGGCTGTAACGCACATAACACACAAGCTTGCAATATAAGGCAGGACGACACCTGTCCCCCTGCAGCTCGGCTGTGTGACCCTCATGTCCATGCTGTCTCATCTGCTGCTTTTCTAAACTTGCTAAAAGTAACAAAACCATCTGAAAGCCACTATTTGTGGATTCTCTGAAAGTTTCCATGGAGTTTGTGACAACTTATTTTATCATTGATCCTATCGTCTAATCCAGACCTGGGCATTTTACGGCCCGCGGGCCACATACGGCCCTTTGGTTGACTTTGACCGGCCCGCGTAAGGTTAATTGGAAATTACAAAATAAATGTATTTTCTCATTTTACCTCATGCATGGGCTAAGGCTGCATTGCTTTTATTTTGAAGTTGTTTTTACGTGCACAATGACGCAATACGTATAGCAACAAGTGCCCGCTGTTGACATGGTGATTGTAGCCCCCAGAAATGTCCGCTCATGCAAAAAAAAAAGAAAGAAAGAAAGAAAGAAAGATGCCGAATGCAGGATTTTCAACAAAAATTGGACTGCTAAGTATTTTTTTTACAGAAGTCGGAGGTAAAGCCGTGTGTTTGGTTTGCGGGGAGGAGATTGCCGTGTTTAAGGACTACAATTTGAGTCGGCATTACGACAAGAAACACTCGGAAAAATACAAGAACTTGTCTGATGCTGAGAGGGCACGGACATCCGAAGCTTTGCTAGCAAAGTTGCAAAAGCAGCAAGGCTTTTTTACTAAGCTTCACACATCCAGGGATGCAGCAACCAGGACCAGCTTTGTGATATCCCACAAAATAGCTAAAAACAGCAAGCCGTTTTCGGAGGGAGAGTTTGTCAAAGAGTGCATGGTGGACTCTGCTGCACTGCCCTGAAAAAAAGGCGCATTTGAGCAAATCCCGCTGTCCAGGCGAACCGTGACCAGGAGGATCGAGGACATTGCGGGGAACCTGGAGCTTCAGCTGCAACGTGAAGTGGCAAGTTTTGACTTTTTCTCATTAGACGAGAGCTGTGATGTCCGGGACACAGCCCAGCTGCTCGTATTTGTCTGGGGGATAACGGACTTCAAGCTCACAGAGGAGCTGGCAGCAATGCGGTGGATGAGAGGGACAATGACAGGGAGTGATCTTTTTACAGAGGGAAATGCGTGCACGGACACTCTGGGATTGAAAGGGGAGAGACTGTCAGGTGGCACAACAGACGGTTGTCCAAATCTTACAGGGAAAAATGTCGGACTTTAGAAACGCATGCAAGATAAAGTGACAGAAATCGATGCAGATCAAAAATAGGTGTTTTTGCATTGAATTATACACCAACATGTGTTGTGCAAGTCAGTGCTAAAAATCAACCGTGTAACTGATGTTGTTACTAAAATAATAAACTTCATCAGGGCACGGGCGATGAATCACAGACAGTTTGTGGCTCTTGTGGAGGACTCCACACAGCTGTCAGCTGGCTCAGCCTGGGGAAAGTGCTGAAGAGGGTTTGGGACTTGAAAGCAGAGATTCAGGATCTCTGCTGGATTTCTACTCTTCTCTTAAGGAGGACTTTCCAAACCTGAAGAGACGTGCTCAGAAGATGTTGGTTCTCTTCGGCTCTACCTACATTTGTGCACAAACATTTTCAATGATGAAGTTTACAAAATCCAGGTATAGATCCTCTCTCACTGATGATCATTTGTCAGCTGTGCTTCGCTTCTCCACCTCAGACATCCAACCTGACTCTGATGCACTCGTTAAAGCCCAGCAGAGACTAGATTTCTCTCACTGAATAAGAAAAAAATCACTTAAAAACACAAAATAAGGTGTTTGGACCACAAATGTGGGCAACTAGCAGTGAACTGGGACACTTTTTTTAAACCTCTTTCTCAAGATCACAGTTCAGTGATTTTATTTTACAGACAATACTGTGTGTCTGTAGAATGCTAAGAACCTCTTTCCAACAATATTTGAAACTCAGAATGTGTTTTGGAGTGAATGTGACTGAAACTGTTAACTAATAGAAGTCACAAATGTTTAACAAAAACCAAATGTGCACACTTTGTTTACCATTGCCTTGGGAAATTTGAATAAATCACATTTTTGTAAGACAACCTCACTTTTTCCTTTTTGCTCATTTATAACATATAGTCTACTCTTACCAGCTTGAAGAAACAATGATATTTACTGCTTTTTATAAAGAAATACCATTAATATTATGCATAATTGACTTCAGCCTTTTGGCCTGGCCCTCCACAATATTTTCTGTTTCTCATGTGGCCCCAAGGAAAAAATAATTGCCCACCCCTGGTCTAATCTCACAGCTGAAACAAGCATCCTTAATAATCTGTGCACAGGAAGCTTACCGATGCTGTAGTAAAACAAAAGTTATAATTTATTATTAATAAAACCTTGTTGCAGCACTAAAGCAGAAAAATGAGATTTTGCAATAAATATGCAAAATATTTACATATGAATTGTTTTAGAGCCCTTTTATTGGCAGAATCTGATATTAATTTAGTTCTTACAAAAAAAAAATGGGTCCCAACATGGTTTGTGTGGCGTTGCCATAGTGTGACGTCATAGGCACAGATCCCCTGTCCTCTTGTTTGGAAATGGAGATATGATCACCCTATATTAAACAAACTGTCCACCCGGGCTTTTGCGCTGCACAGAGACGCTTCGCTGCCTACGACTGAATGTCAGTTGAGAGTCAGTCTCATGCAGACTGACCAATGAAGAGAGGGCCTCAAGTTAAGACCCTCTCCTCATTGGTCAGTCCACACGAGGTGGGTCAAAGGTTACCCTGAGCGGGTTACGTGGTGTCAGGCATTCAAGTATTGAGTATATTTACTGCATATTACAGTAAAATATTCTGTATGTGACCACATTATGGTGATCCTTGGGTCGTGATGATGGGGCCCTTGAATATTGTTGCCCAGGGTACAACAAAGTTTTAATCTGGCCCTGCGTAGATGATTAGTGATTTTAGAGAAATGCTAAAGATCAAGTAAAAAATAATGTACACTTTATTTCATTTATACCCCCCCCCCCCCCCCCCCCCCGTGTCCTGTCTGGCTGTGAAGCAAGCAGAACTTATGTCTGAATGCTGGTAACAAGCCTCACAGATTTACTCTCAGGTGGAGCATCAAAGCGTCTGCTTTCAATGTCACGCCTGATACTTAAAACTTTATTGTTATTGTTGTTGAATGCTTTATAATTCTGACCAGACACGGAGACAGAGGTGAAAGAAAAAGGAAGAGACAAAAATAAACAACCAACGATGAACAAGAGTCTGCTTCTAGACCTACAGAAAGAGAAAAACAACACACAACAAGAGCAAACTATCACTGCGCCAACCTGATGAGGAAATATAAAATCAACATTGTTTTACTGAACAATCACGATAATAACTCACAGTGCATTTAGTGCCCACCACAGCCTTGTAAACTTTATTTCTGTTCTGAACCATTCCCACAGACAGAAACGGTCCAAAGAGACCCAAACATGTTCCTTAACCCAGAGCTAACAGACCAGGGTCCAGCAGCTAGCATACCCTAGACAGAAACAACTACTCATGTTTGTTTACGTTTGTCTTTGCTTTAGGAGCTCCATCGCCACATAGAGGAGGGTCTGGGCAAGAACATGTCGCAGAAGTGCTCCAGCTCCATCACCAGCGCTATGCAGGCCACACAGACCGACATGATTGGTAACAGTTGTGCCGTCTACCGCTGAGATGAACACATCAGGTCTTCTGACTCCAGCATTTCAGCCATCTGAGACCATGCGTCCACATATGAGGACATTGGCTTCTTACACTAGAACGTTTGATTCAAATCAACTGAAACCATTTTTTTATTATTTAAGTTCAGAAAAGACATTTTATTGATTTATTTTTAGGAAATTTGTCAATCTTCTTATTTAATTGTATTTTACATCACACCAAGTACAAATTTGGGGCTCAGGAGGTTACTGGATTTCACTGACTCTAACCTCGGCCTTCCACTGGTTACATAAGCGTTCAGTAAGGTCTGAGAAGCGTGGTACACCGTTATAGTCAGTAGGTGTGTGTTCACTTCCTACGAAGCAGTGCATCATGTGTGTATCCCAGAAGCATATGCTACATTTAGATTGTCTTTACGTGCACATTTCCTGTTTCGTAACTAGTAAAGCGTCGTTACCAGTGTGGCCGTGGTTAGGGTTAGGGTTAGGGTTACTCTGGAAAACGGGGTTGACACCCAAACTGGAGCCACTGAGGCCCATTGCCATGAAGGGCTGTATACTGTATGTGACAGGAACTGCAGCAGGCACTTCTGCTGTCCGGTCCACGGAGTCGCCATGTGCAGCTGTCCGGAGCGGTGCCTCTGAAAGGTGGTGAGCATTGATCTGCTGTGCTTTCGGTAAGGTCTCTGAAGGAACCAGCGTGCCTTCAGGGGAACGTTTGGGTGTGTGATGTGCTGCTTCAGAGTCACAATAGATGCTGTGATGCCAACTAGTCATGTCTCCTGCACCGTGAGGTGGGCAGCACGGAAGGAAAAGCACAGAGGAGAGGTCTGCGTGTCTCGACAGTCCTGAGGGGCTCTAAGCTCAGGTTGGTCAGGTGAACTCCATCGGGACCTATTTGGTGGTTTAACCCACCAAGTGAAACCTTGATGCTGGGTGTCGAGCTGGGAGGCATTGGTCCCATTTTTGAAAGTCTTTGGAACGACCCAATAGTGGATTTGAACCCACAGTCTCCCAGCCTCAGGGTGGACACTCGTACTACTAGGCCACTGAGCGGGTCATGTGGGCAGCAGTAGCTCAGGTGGTAGAGCGGGTTGCCTCATGCTCGGAGGGTCATGCGTTCGATTCCAGCTCCTGCCAGGGGTATCCTGCTGTTGTGTCCTTGGGCAAGGCACTTCACCCAACTTGCCTGTGTTAGTGGTGGTCAGAGGGGCCGACGGCGCCAAATGGCAGCCTCGCCTCTGTCAGACCTCCCCAGGGCGGCTGTGGCTACAAGTAGCTCACCATCACTAGCAATGTGTGAAAGCGTCTTTGAGTGTCCTAAA